TGTTCTTGATAGCCATCTGATGACACTTACTTGGATCCGATTGATATTTGCTACAAGTGCTCAAAGCACATGAGATATCAATCCGAGTACACAACATGGCATACATGATGGATCCAATTGCTGATGCATATGGGATCCTCTTTATCCTATCTCTCTCATATTGTGTTCTAGGACACATATCCTTAGAGAGATAAACACCATGTGACATCGGAAGAAATCCCTTCTTGGATTCCTCCATACGGAATCTTTTCAGTACATTGTCAATGTATGTACTCTGACTTAGGCTAAGCAACCCACGCGATCTATCACGATATATCTTTATTCCGAGAGTGTAGGCTATCTCTCCTAAGTCCTTCATGGAGAAGCACTTGGTTAACCAAGTCTTTACCGACTGCTAGTTTGGTATGTCATTCTCGATCCAAAGTATGTCATCAACACACAACACTAGGAATGCCACTGCGCTTCCACTCACTTTCTTGTAAACATAGGGATCATCTTCATTCTTGATGAAACCGAATTCTTTTATGGCTTCATCGAAACAAATGTTCCAACTCCTTGAAGCTTGCTTGAGTCCATAAATGGACATCTGTAAATTGCATACCTTGTAAGCTTACCCATTAAGAACAAAACTGTCAGGTTGTGTCATATACACATCTTCTTCAAGGTTTCTATTCAGGAAAGCTATTTTGACATCCATTTGCCAAATCTCATAGTCATAATATGCAGCAATCACGAGCATAATCCGGATGGATCTAATCGTGGCAATTGGCGAAAAGGTTTCTTCATAGTCAATACCATGAATCTGTTTGAAACCTTTGGCAACCAGTCGAGCCTTATACGTATGCACCTTGCCATCCATGTTAGTTGTAAAACCCCTTCCAAGCCGAATATTTCCTAAGTATCCCTTGGCCATTGAGAACCTAGAAAAGGCACGCCTAGGAAAGAAGTTTATTTTAAAATCCTATTAAAAGAATAAACTTGTAGTTTAAAAATATATCTATTTTTATTTTAAAACATTTTAATTTCTTAACTTTATTAAGTTCATTGTACAAGTAAAAAATATAGTTTCCTTTCTTGGAGTACATTATGAAATCCATAGTAGTACTTACGAGAACATACACACTTTTACAAAATTTACTAGCAATTTGATTTCTTTTATTAGCACAAACATATATACTCCATAATAACATGGACATATTTACTGCATTATGAGATATAAACATAATTACTACACTAAATACTAGCAAAACCATTCAAAAGTCATAATTAAAACATCCCTTCATGCTCATAGCGTCCCTCGGAATCCTCTCCCAGCTTCATGCCTTAATCCTTACCTGCAAAACATTTTAAAACATTTCGTGGGGTGAGCGCTAATCGCTCAGTAAGGAATATGGCCATTTATAAACTATTAAGGTTCATTATACATCATTTTACAAGTATATTACTTAGGACCTTACCTACCTACAAAATATGACCTTCATTCTTTAACATAACAAGTTCATAAAACATATCATACACTTTGGACTTTTCTCATAAACATAAGTCATAACATAATCATACATAATATAACATAGAACATATATGACTTATGAAATATTCATGTACATGGCATGCTTATTTCTTTTGTCTTTATACTTGATGGTTTCATTAGTCTTTGTTATCCGATCGGATTCATTTAAACCATTACCTTGTTCTTGGTCGTCACCTCAAAGGACTCATGGTTTCCATAAGAATTCCATTCCTCTGATCTTGGTTTATACCTCAAGAGACTCATGGAATTCATTCTTTAACATTTCATAAATTTTTCATAAGACAACTAAATAAGCTATATGCATTACCATTATGAATGCAAACATATGGACTAACATATTCCATGCTCAATCATACTATATTCTCCTACTAAACTTCTTAACTTAATTCATTCAATTTCTCATACAATACAAGGAATTTCAGTAGTAAGATTATTCAGGGGTTTATTAGAATTAGAAACAAATGGGAATTTCCATTAAGAAGGTGGATGCCATACAGTTCGTTACTTTCAAGCATTTTTCCATTATCTTCTAATTCGAATTTATTTTTGGCTAAAACATAAAAGTTTTAGGTCTGTTTCTCAAATTTTTAACACTTCAAGAATCAACTCAATCGGACTTCTATAACTTCAGTTATGACTGATTCAGTGAAGCATGTACAGTATAAGTCTTAAAACAGCCAAATCCGAATTCTATTCATTTTAACCATGTCACCTTCATTTGCACATTCATATTATTTGCCATATCATTCTAAGTATAAAAGGCCATAAAAACCTCCCTTTTTACAGAACCAAAAAGTGCCAAAACATCGTCCAACTACAAATCTCTTAATTGGCATAATCATCCTCCACATGCACACATACACCAATCAACACACCCATTTAAACAATCCATAACCAAAACATAGCATCACACTCATATTAACATAAATAAATGTAAGTTTCATAAACCCTAGGTGTTATCAATTGTAGTCATAAGGGAGATTTTTTCCTTACCTTAGTATTCAAAGCACAAAGGTACTCCTCCTTGGCTCCAAAGTTTCACCTTTCTACCTTACACACATAACCACTTATGAATTTCTCTTTTAACCAAAAAATTCAGAAAAACTAGGGTTTTGAAACTCACCTTTAACCCTGAAATTGAAGTTCTTTAAGGGTGGATGGTGATCTCCTTTGAAAATCAACTTGAAATCCTAAGAAAATTTGAGAATAAAAGCTTGGATTAGTGGCTTTTATGGTGGATTTGAGAGATGAAGAAGAAGATGATATATTTGGGGTCTCCAAGGCCGACTACTCTCTTTTTAAACCTTGTAAATATTCATTCCATTGATACTCTAATGTGATTGGTCAATAAAAGTTAGATATAAGGGTCATTTGGCATAAATTTTTCATATAAGGGCATTTTGGTCATTTCCACCACAACATAAAGATAAGCACTCATTTAATGCCATTTGACTTCTTTGAAACACTTATCCATTAAGCAATCCCATTAGGTGAATGACTAATTTACCCTTGGTGCACTTTTATGGACACTTAATCATATGGTTTTGTATGAAAAGACCATTATACCCTTGGTTACTGTTTACGCCATTTAACCATATCAATCAACTTTATGACCATTCTACCCTCATTTCTCTTCAATGACATCACCCCTTACACTTAATAATGGCCACATCTCGAAATACATGTAAATTGACCATTTTACCCTTCCATTCAAAAAAAGAAAATTACTTGAAAAGTAAATTTCATACCTTAAGGCATTGGAATAATAACGCGGGGTTTACATTAGTCTTCTTCTTTAAGATCCATTTACACCCTATGGGTTTTACCCCTTCAGGTGGATCCACCAGAGACCACACTTGGTTGTGGTACATGGAGTCCATCTCAAATTTCATAGCTTTTAGCCATTTAACGGAATTTGGATCTGATATAGCGTCTTGGTAGACCAGTGCGTCACCATGTTGAGTTATGAGATAACCATATCTCTCGGGCTCACAGCGTACTCTCTTAGATCTACGTAGCTCTTGTGCTACCTGAGGTGGTTCACTTTGATCCACAAGTTGTGGAGTAACCTCCTCATGTGGCACATCATCTTGTCTTTCATCTAATATATCTTATGGTTCTAGAACTTCATCGAGTTCTAGTTTTCTCCTACTAGAACTTCTTAGAAAAAATTCCTTTTCTAGGAAGACACCAGTACGAGTGACAAAAAATTTGCGCACTTTTGGGTGGTAGAAATAGTATCCTTTGGTTTTCTTTAGATGCCCCACAAATATACAGTTACAGGATTTTGGGCCCAGTTTGTTCGACGTTAATTTCTTGACATAAGCTTCGCAACCCCAAATCCATAGATAGGACAAGTTGGGCTTTCCCCTATTCCATAATTCAAATAGAGTCTTATCTATAGACTTTGATGGCACACGGTTTAAAATGTGAGTCGCGGTCTCTAGGGCATAACCTTGGAATGATGCAAGTAGATCACTAAAACTCATCATGGACCTATCCATATCAAGTAAGGTCATATTCCTCCTTTCAGACACTCCATTGGGCTGGGGTGTATATGGAGGGGTGAATTGTGATACTATCCCACATTCCTTCAAGTGTTCAGAAAACCCTAAGCTTAAGTATTCACGTTCTCGATCCAACCAAAGAGCTTTACTACTTTTACCCAACATATTTTGTACTTCATTCTTGAATTCTTTGAATTTATCAAATGCTTCAGATTTATGTCTCATAAGGTAGACATAACCATATCTACTGAAATCATCAGTGAATGTAATGAAGTACGAATATCCACCTCTGGCTTCAATTGTCAGTGGACCACATACATCACTATGGATGATGCCTAACAGTTCAGTAGCCTTTTGACTTTTTCCTGTGAAAGGAGACTTCGTCATCTTGCCTAAAAGGCATGATTCGCATACCTCAAATGACTGAAAGTCAAAAGGGTCCAAAACTCCATCCCTTTGAAGTTTTGCAATGCGAGTTTGATTAACATGACCTAATCTACAATGCGAGAGATATGTCTGGTTTTGATCGCTATGTTTAGCTCTCTTGGTTTCAACATTGAGAATATTCTTATTGTTTAAATCAAGAACATATAACCCGTTATACAACCTTGCAATTCCAAATAGAATACCATTCAAACTAAAGGACAACAATCCATTAGAAATCTCAAAATGATATCCTATAGTATCCAAAGCAGATACTGAAATAATATTTCTAGAAATAGAAGGTACGTAATAATAGTTATGAAGTTCCAACAACAAGCCCGAAGGCAAAGATAAACAATAATGTCCTACAGCCAATGCAGCCACATGTTCTCAATTTCCAACTCGTAGGTCCACTTCTCCCTTCGCGAGTAATCTACTCTACCTTAGTCCCTTCACATCAGTGCAAATGTGAGTACCACATCCTATGTCAATGACCCAAGATGTTGGCAGAGAGAAGTTAATCTCAATCATGAACATACCTGAAGTCGAAGCCTCTGACTTTTTCTTGCTGGCGAGGAAAGTCTTGTAGTGCTTTCTCCAATGGTCAAGCTTGCCGTAATAGAAGCAAATTACTTTCCCGCCCTTCCCAACGCCACTCTTAGGCTTAAGAGCACCCTGTCCTTTGAGCTTGGACTTGGGTTTGGCCTTGGCCTTACCCTTGCCCTTACTTTTTCCTTTACTGGCAGCAACCAGTAAAATAGGTTTGGACTTTTTCATGTCTTGCTCTACAATCCTCAACATGTTCAAAAGCTCTGACAGAGGTTTCACCATCGTGTTCATGTTGAAATTGATAATGAACAGTGGTAAAGAATTAGGTAAGGATTGCAAAATTAAATCCATTTGTAATTCTGCATCCAACCCAAACCCCAAAGTCTCAAGCCTCTCTATATGCTCTATCATCTTCAGCACAAGAAGGCTAACTTCGGTTCCCTTAGTCATGCGACTTCCAAATAGTGTTTTTGACACCTTGTACCTCTCATGTCGAGCATTTTCTTCGAAAAGCTCTTGGAGCTGTAGAGTAATGGCAGTAGCATCCATATTCTCATGCTGCTTTTGCAGCTCAGGTGTCATCGATACTAACGTTAGGCATTGAACGCCATCAGCATCATCAAGGAACTTTTGATAAGTATCCTTCATTTCCTAAGTGGCATCAAGACTAGGCTTGGCCATGTATGGCTTAACAAGGATATACAACTCTTTTTGGACTTTAGTATAATCTGAAGAATACAATACTAGTCTAAGAAATTGGATCCATCTAGCCTGTACTCTTTCTCGATTATCGGTCGCAAGTTCATATTGCTCATTTTGGTGAATCTACAACTAAAGAAAAGTAGAAGTCATTATAATGTTCATTAACGTTTAATATGGTCTTTTATTAAACAATGCTTCCACTATTTTACTCAAGTCAATAGCCCTCACTATTAACTCGGGAAAGCCCATTGGCTTTCCTAGTAGACTGAGATCCCAAAATGGGTTAATTAGGTAGGCTAAAAAACTTAATCCACACCAGTTGATAGCTCCTACTACCAACCTCAAATGTGAAACAAGCCAATCACACAATCCAATGACCTAGCCATCATTCTCAAGTGTGATTCCCAGTATTAGTAAATTGGACACTACATGTCGCCATGTACACAACATATCTACTTCTGTACTATGCCTACGACGTGTTTATCAACCTTCGTTGTGGCGAACAAGCAAAACTGTCATTTTAAGTCGACCCATCACCATTAAGAAAAACTCCAATGAAATTTAACCTCACACTAGTAGAAATGTACCCTTTGCTATGGCGAACAAGATTCCGACGAATAGTGGTTTGATTAAACCCATGGTGATGGAAGGCATATGTGTGACTTAATACACTTTATTGGAGGGTTTTTATTTTAATGTCTCGCCAGATTGTTATCTTTGTTAGAATGACGTTGCTTGGCATGTTATTGAACATTCAAACATAGCATGCGTTCTAAACAAAATATAAATGTGCCAGTACATGGCCCAACTAAAACCGATTTCCTCGAGCCTAAAGGAACTGGTGGGTCACCTAGGGGTCCTGTAATAAATATCCTAAGTCTTCAAGTATGATTGCCTTGCCCTTTGCTTTGTCGTCAAGTACATTACAAAAACATCATACTAAATTTACAATAAAATTAATCTCAAACTAATTTTACATCAATAAATTTAGAAACCTCGATTTACATTCGAGGGGAATGAGATGAGAAGAGAATGTACATCGAGAAAGGGAAGAAAGGTAGGACACGCAGGCCCTATTTTAAAATTTACAACTATACATACCTAAAAATATTTTAAAACATTCACAATAGGTCTTAAGGCTCATGTATCGGGCACCATGCAATATTCAAATAAGTACATTGCATACATTTAAAAACAATCAATTTTTGGATTCGGTGGTTGAATTATTAATTACCCTCTGACAATTTGCAAATCTATAATTGCTCCAAAAGTTTTGAAACTTTTCACTTTGGCTCCTACGCACTCGAAAGTACGCTTGCTGTGGTGATGGGTTATATCGTCGCAGTGTACACTGATTTTTGTCGCATACATGCATCACATGTGATTGCCACGATGATGGGTTATATCGCCACAACGATGGGTTATATCGCCATGACGAGCGCTGATTTTCTTCAGTGTGCACCTTAGACTACGATCGCCGCAGCGAGCATTGATATTCAGTTAGTGGTCGTACTAAGGACGATCACCATGGCGATAGGTTACATCGCTGCGGCGAGCACTGATTTCCAACCTACGAGTATGCCAAACAACGATCATTGCAGCAATGGATTATATCATCGAAGCAAGTGTACACTGATCTGTAACATATTAGTTCAACCAGCAGGAAACAAAAAGCCAATCGGATTTTGCAATCAATCTAAACTTCTGATCTCAATAAAAATCCATATCCCAATATACCAATCTCGCAGATCCAGCAAATTAAATTAATCAAGTAAATTGATTTCTTAAAACGTGCTTTCAAGGCAGATTTTATACAGATTCAACAAGACAACATGTTGTCAATCAAATACATGTAATCAACCATACATTAAACTGTAAAATCTGGTACCCTAGGCTCTGATACCACTGTAAGGAAACGATCAAGCTTATTGCAGCTGAAAACAAAAATTGTAAAGCACAGATCATTCCCATTGAACCAAGATTAAGGCACAAATTATACAGTTTATATGTTAAATCAAAATTTGTAGCAATATGAACAATCAGAGTAGAGTTTAGAGTTCATAAGCACGCTTGGAGGCTCCTTCAAACTTGTCTCTGATTGGGTTCTCTACTGATCCAAGAGTAGGATCGAACCAGCGGTAATCTACACGAAGATAACCCGAAGAGCTAAAGAGGGATTTGCTAGATCCTCTTTAGCTTCAAGAACCAAATTGAAGAATCAAGAAATTTTGATTCAATGAAATACAAGGCTGGCGTGAGACTTGGGAGAGGGTTGTATATTCTTTTGTTTCAAGTGAAAAATGATTGAATGATTTCTCTACAATTGAATTCACAAAACATTGCACTTATATAGTGCACATAAAACCTTATTCCATCAAGGAATAGGCTTGGGCTTCAACCGAAATAGCCCCTATATCCAAACACTCCCAATCATGATATTTTAATTATAATTATTATTATTTTTCAATTAAACTCAATTAATGTATTTATAGAAATACATTAACATTTAATTAATAATAATAATCCATTTAAATATATGTGTACATTTAAATGTAATCTCACTTATTTAATTTTAATATCAAATTAAATATAGGCAACAACCTCATCAAATTTAATTGCGTTGTGAGATTAGCAAAATACCCTTCACCTAAAAAGACGAAAATGCCCCTCGCACAAACTGATTCTTAAGTTATCTTCTATGTGTGTTACCCGTATGCTCCTCATCATACCGGTAGTGTGTAGTATCGCGATTAACACCAATTAACCATCTCACTACACACAGACCAAGATTGGCCCCTAGCAAGGCATCATGGCCACCCGATAGATTCGGATTTAGCGAATCAACTACCTATCAACAATATGGTTACCATGCAATCAAATCTTTTCATCATCTATTATCTCATTGAGACTGAGGTACAAAAATAGTTTCAACCTTAGTTGCTCTCGATATGTATATATTCAGTTACTGGACCAGTGACCGGAATGATAACTTAGATTGAGCAACAACTCAATCCCAGTGTGGCCACAGTTTTAGTGTTATTGCCATTTACTAAATTGCGTCGTGAGATAACTTCTCCCATACCCAAGGGTGATGAATCATCTGTCGATTCACCATAGTCTTGATACACTCCTTGATGCAGCCAATTGTTAGAGTAGATGCCCTAGAGCCAATAAATTATTGTAGAATTGACTCTTTGTAATAATGTTCATTGATCAATAAAAGGCATTTTATACTATATCACGTAAATCATCATTGTATGTATTGATATATATGTCCTTAGAATGGTAAAACTGTGACGAGGGTATCAAGTGCTTCAAATCTTGATAGTGAGAACCCTATGAGCACATATGGTGGCCATTCTAGAAACGTTTGTAGACGCAGTTCTATTCAGAGCTGTCAATATGGTAGTGATTGGTTGCATCAAGGAGTGTATCAAGACTATGGTGGATCAAAAGACGATTCATCACTCCCCAGTATGGCGGGAAGTTATCTCACGACGCAATTCAGTAAATGACAATGACACTAAAACTATGGCCGCAGTGGATTGAGGTGTTGCTCTATCCAGTTTATAATTCAGGTCATTGGTCCAGTAACTGAATACATAATATAGAGAGGAACTGAAGTTGACACTATTTATATGCCTCGGTCTCGTCGAGATAACGTATGATGAAAGGATCGGATTGTACGGTAACCATATCGTTGACAGGTAGCTACTTCGCTGAATCTGAATCTATCGGGTAGCCATGATGCCTTGCTAGGGGCCAATCTTGGCCTGTGTGTAGTGAGACGATTAATTGGTGTTAATCGCGATACTACACACTACTGGTATGATAAAGAGTCTACAGGTCACACACATAGAAGATAATTTAAGAACCAGTTTATAAGAAGGGTGTTTTCGTCTTTTTAGGCAAAAGGGTATTTTGGTAATTTCACAGTGCAATTAAATTTGCTGAGGTCATAGCCTTTATTTAATTTGATATTAAAATTAGATAAGTGAGATTATGTTTAAATATGTGTTCACATATATTTAAACAAATTATCATTATTGTTAAATGTTTATATTATATATATTAATTGAATTTAATTGAGATAATGATAATTAAAATAAAATATCTTAAAGGGGTTGTTTGGATACAAGGAGTTGTTTGCGTTGGTGCCCAAGCCCATTCCATGATGGAATAGGGTATAGTGTTGCACTATATAAGTGCAACACTTGTGAATTAATAAAGAGAAATTTTTATTTTTCATTCAAAACAAAGCTCCAGCCCCCCTTTTCATTCTCTCCCACGCAAGATTCCTTTTGTTTGGGAAAAAGTTTTTGATTAATTTCTTCTTGGTTCTTAAGGACTAAAGAGGATCTAGCAAATCGCTCTTTAGTTTCTTGGGGTTGTCTTCATGTGGACTACATTGGTTCGATCCTACACTTGGGTCGATAGTGAAATCCCCTTCGAGACAAACTTGGAGGGGCCTCCAACGTGCGTATGAGTTCTAAACTTTAAACTGATTTTTTTGCAAATTCTATTATAATGTATAAACTGTAATTTTTGTGCCCTGATCTTGGTTCTAAGGAACGATCTATCATGTAGATTATTTTGTTTTCCGCTGCCATAGATGATCGTTTCCTAACAATGGTATCAGAGCCTAGGGTACTAGATTTTACAGTTTTTGTGAATGGTTGATTACATGTATTTGATTGATAACATGTTGCCTTGATGAATCTGCACAAAATCTGCCATGAAAGCATGTTTTAAGAAATCAATTCATTGATTAATTTAATTTGTTGATGATCTGCAATTTGGAATATACTGGGTTATCGATTTTTATTGAAATCACTAGTTTAGATTGATTGCAAAATCCGTTTGGCGTATTTTGGTTGCTG